CCATCCAATGCGTACTTGAGGATGACTCAAAGGGAAAGAGTTCACCTTTATGAGGATGAAAAAATGTTGGCGTCGCGCATCATGTAAACATTTGCATGACCAATATGTCTCGTGATGGTGCCGCCTTGTGAATCCTTCAAAATGAAAGAACATGACAAACACTTAGAAAAACAAATGAGTTTAGCGGAAGTGCACAACCTATCATTCGTGTGGTAATATACCCAACAAGTGTATGCATCATGCTCATCATAAGAAAGGACAAGGGAGTATTTCATAGTATGGAGGCATATGATGCGAGAACAATCAAATACGATAGGCTCAATCAAACAAGCAGGCATCACAAGTAAGGTGTCAAAGTCTCCAAAATCAACAATCATAGTATGGTTGCACTCACTACAAGTGGATATGAGAGAGGCAACTAATGGACACAAGAGACAATGATCAAGATATATCGTGTGAGAGGCATGAACATATATGTCATCAACCCAAGAAAACGAGTAAGAATGGAACATGGGTGATGCAACAAAGCAAGTAATCATAGCGATCAAGTCAAGCAAGCTAGTAGTGCGAAGATGCAACGTACTAGAAGGAATCATGGCAAGCATGTCATGTGTGCAAATAGTGGGCATGAATAATGCATATGATATATCACAAGCATGAAAGCAAGATATCAGCAAAATATCATCAATGTATTGGCACGAAGTCCTAGGTAAATAGCAATGGAACATCATGACTCTCCCAACACAAGTATCAACAATAGCATGTGGAAAATGGTAAACATGGAAATAGCAACAAGTATCTCCACCGAGCATGCAAATACATATAAGAGTAGGATAACGGTGAATCATGGGTAAATGCAAGCAAGGGTCACAATTGGATGGCAAAGGCATAGAGGCAAGCATAACATGCAAAGTGAACACGGTAAATGAGCATAAGGTGACACATGGTAAATAGCCCATAGCTGTGTGAGAGGAAAGTAAAAGAGATGTGCGTAGTCCTTGCGCAAAGGGAACAGTGGTAAGGATAGTCCACCGAATCCCAAAGCATCGTTGCTCTCAAGAGCTCGTTTCATCAACTCTTGGGATTGAGAGGTTGACGAGTATATGTGAGTACCTACACAAAACAAAGGTAAAAGGAAAATTGTGTGTGTGTGGTATATGTACACATCATCCATCATGATGCGCACGTGCATGTGTTGGTTAGCACAAAATATCCAATGCTCAAATATATGAGATGTGTGATATAGAAACATGTCATCCATCATGATGGGTTTGTTGTTATGTATGGCATAATGGAGACTCAAATTTTGTAATGCATCACGAGCAATATCTAGAGCATTGTTAATGCGTTCTCAATGAGATCTCAACCCGATGATAACGTAACTTCCTTCACTGGCAAATGCACATGGGAAGTTTTTGGACCTGGACAGCTGATGGAGGGTGATGTAATGGACTTCCTCATTGATGATTGGAAGCGAGATCCCAAGAAAATTTATGATTTCGCATATGGAAAAAGGACCTTGCTGAGTCCATATTTCATCACAGTAATGAATCAGATCGTTTGTTTCTGTGAAACAAGAGTGCCTAATTTTTTATGAGTTTTTAAAATACTTTCCTATTTGATCCTTTCCCCCTGTCTATTTCTTTTTGGTTTTTCGCAGGTTGTGCTTGACTGTACTTTTTACGGTGATGAAGATAAAGAGTTCAATGTGGATAGTGCAGCGAGAGATTTCAAGAGCTCTGTTCAAGATGGGGAAGACTTGCTTAGTGCTGACCTTGTGAGATCTACTAGCTGATTTTTTGGTTTTTTTTTGTTTGCTGTGATGCTGGTTTTTATTTTGAATATTTTAATATCTCTTTTTAGTGATTTGTTTTTAGGTCATGATGCCTCTATTCAAACCTATGGTTTTATCAAAGGATTTGAAAGTGAACCACTTATCCTTATATGTCTTGAATCGGTACCAAAGTACCGTTGACATCCTTGACCCTTTACCTTATCCTAAGAACCATCGTCCTTCAAAGAAACACCTATCACAAAGACTGCGAGAAGATTGTGAGTGATATTTATTTTCTATACTAGATTAATTTGCCCCCCTCTTATTTCTGCTTTTTTGAGGCCTGGAATGTGTGGTTTGTTTGCTTTTTTTACAGATCTCTAGATTGGTCCAAGTAATGAAGGTTGTGTATGGTGACACTCAGTATAATGCGAGCAAGCAGCCCAAATGGGAGGTTTTTGCAAAGAAACCAACGTTTGTCAAGGTTCCACTTCAAGGGATGAATGAATGTGGTCATTATACTCTCAAGTATGTAGAAACCTATGATGGTGAAAAGATCGTTGAGAACATTCGAAATAATGATGTGAGTTCTAGTTCAACTTTCACTTTCTATGTTTGGTTGATTGTCTATTCCTTTTTTTATGTGTCATGATTTTTGATAATTTGTTTTATTGTTTTGTAGCCGCGTATTGTTGATTGGAATGCTGAGGGTCTGTATACAGTTGTGTTCAACCGGAATAACCAGGTTCTGGTGACAGAGCTTCCCAAGGAGGTTCAGGCTTTGGCTCCTGATGCGTAGAAGAAATGGTTATCATTTGTGTATTAAATGGGTTACTTGTGTGATTTATGTCTTGAAAGCATAGTAGGCTTTGTACGTAGTGTTTGGATGTCTTGTCTACTATGTAATAACCATTATACTTTGTGATGTTTTTAAGTGTCGAACAACGTTTTACAAACATTTTTTGGTGATGAGAATGTGGTTGAACAGCTGTTCCACTCATGTATGTTTTCTCGTTAATTTGTTTTGGTTAAGTTTTATTTCTTGTACTGAAGTCTTATACACAAGTTGAACTGAAACACTTTTTCAAGTGCATTTACGAGTTGTTGATGAAAAGTGAGATTATTTTTATTATCATCTGTCCCAACCTTAGTTGGACCTTTATAGTTTCTGTACCCTCTTTCCTTTGTACTTATGGTATAGTTTTGTGAGTACTGAATTATAATTCCATACTGCGTAAGTCTTTTAAAATTAGTGTCACAATAGTATTTGTGGATGTAGTGTGAGTGTAGTGACACCTCCTTGTTATGTAGAACTGATGTCATATAATGTGTTAGAACTGAAGTTTTTTTGTGATTGATATTGTTTACGATGAAATTTGCTACGCGATCTATAGCCAGGTTCTATTTAAATTTAAGAAATTTAGCAAATTTGAGAGCCAAGTTTTTGCTTGAACTCCTTGCATTTCAGTAGTTGAACTTCAGAGTAAAACTTAATCCCCTGGTTTAAATTAGCTACATTTAGGTGATAGCCCTATTATGGTCATAATTATTTTTGTAGCATATTTAGATTATCTTCAGAGTATCATTATTTTTGTAGCATATTTTAATCCTTTTATCTGTGCTGAAGAGGTAAATTTATTTTATTTTTATATTTGAATTTTAGAATAATTTTGCCTACGAACATGTATTTGAACTTTTCAATATTCAGTTTTAGAATTTTTTTTGTATTAGTTTTTATTTCTTCTCCGCACGCTTTGGTTTTATTCAGCGGGCTTTTATGGGGTGGGGTGAGTAGAGTTTGGAGAGGAGGGATTAGCAGTCGTATTGGTCTCTTTTCCCGCCCAAATGCCTCATGCGCGCGACTTTGGACTCTTGTCTATGCGTGCACTCTGAGTCGCACCTCGCTAGGCGAGGGGGCTCTTGACGGGTTTATAAGCGTTGCCATGGCTTTTCTGTCGAACTCCTATGTCTAGTTACCTGGGCGCTTAAGCACAACACTTGCTCTCTGTTCCATGACCTGTGGGCCCTTGTTGGCTGGCCCGTGCAGTGTTTATTGCTATGGATTCGCTAACGGTTCTACCATGGGCTTGAGTACAAGTGTATCCACCTATGTGTGGCTGGCCTGTCCTTGGGCGGTCATCATTCTTTTTTGTTGTTTGAAACTAGAACCTCACTGGTCAATGTGGACTGATGCTTCTATTGTTTGTTCTTGTTTTTCCCTTGGTTTCAAGTGTAATCTTTTTGATTGAATTTTGGCCTTCTTTTTCTATGCTGTGATCAATGCATTATTTTGGTATCATCATAGTACTTGCCGTATGAACTAAGTTGTACTGATATTCCAATTGTACTTGCACTGTGATTACTTTTTTTGTTCATTGGAAACTAGCACCTCACTGGTCAATGTGGACTGATACTTCTGTTGTGGTACTTGTGAATTTTCTCTTCGTCGAACTGATATCTTTTTGATTTAGTTTTGGCCTTCTTTTATCTAGGTTGTGATTGTTCTCAAGGCATTATTTGTATCCTCATAGTACTTGCTGTATAGACTAAGTTGTACTGATGTTTGAATTGTTCTAGTACTGTTATTCTTGGTGTATCACTGTTTTTAGGGAATGGGAATTGACGCTTCTCGTTCCTTTTTATTTTGTTTGATGGATGTACTGTGTGTTCAAGTGTACCAGTACTTTCACTCCTAGTATGCTAGTGCCTATGAAATACGTACTGATAGTTCTAGGTTTTTCCTGTTGCACTACTTAGTAATTTTCTAACAACTATAAGCATGATCCTGTTAGTACTTTTATTCTCTTTAGTTTTCTCCTGAAACTAAAAACTAATTTTTAGTGTGATAGTACTATCGTACAGGACTAACTTGTATTGAGCGTCAAAGTCTACTATTTGTTGTTCTCCTTAGTCTGCCATGTTTTTGTGTGAAAATATCCCTATGTGATTTGTTGCTCCATGATTAGTATTGCATAGCAGCCACAAAGTTTCATTAATAATCTACTTCAACTTTAAATGATGGATAAACAAAATAGGAAGGCAGCAAACTTGTTTAACGACATAAAGTGAACGATTTACTTGACGACATATGCAAACTTGTTCATGCCTGACACACATGACATAAGTAAGCTGGTTCAACCTAACAAAAGCATAGTACAAGTTTGAAACAACAAGATAAAGGAGAAGCACAAGCGCAAGCAACACGAAGGCAGACTTTGATGTCTCTTCAACCCGCGTAGTGGCAGTGGTAGTAGGGGCCAGCTTCCCGCGCCTTTGAAATTTCCGCACCTACTGTGATGTTGTCGATTATCTTCCATGACTTGTAGGTGGCGTACGCATCTGTAGCTGCGTACTCGATGAGGTAATCTGGTAGCGGGCTTATCCCCCACAACTTAAGGTCTTTCTCCTTGTCGATCTTATTCTTCATGCCTTTGTAGAATGGGTGGATGACACTGGCTGCAACATCTGCCAAGGAGTCATAATCTTTTTCGCTGATGTATGGAACTCTCCAATTGAGCTGAATGTCGATGAAGCTCTTGGGGTCGATCTCCAAACCAGACCTCTTCATCATCTGTTTGTCATCTTCAATGCTGAAACCTACAAAGGTGTACAATTTATGCTCCTTCAGGAAGTTTTTGAGGTGCTTGGGCCTGCAAGGGGGAGACACATATTGAAGATTAGTATTCTGTTTTTTTGAAGATTTAATTCTTCTGTTTTATGGTTTACAAGTGATAACCCATGAGGTGGATGCTTATATAGTATAAGTCATTGATGAATGTAGTTTAGAAACTATTACAAAATGTTCTGAAATTAAATTCAAGTACACCATGTTACTTATCTTTTTTGGTATCTTCAGTGCTTCAGCAAATTCTTCACCAAGTTCTAGAACCTATAACTAAAGGTAATGATCTATGTGCTGCTTACTTCAAGTTTATTTTTCTTTTCGTGTAATAAAAGACCTATACCAGTGCTTCACCAAATTCTTACTTTTTTTGGCTGCTGAAAAATAACATCAAACTAGGTTCAGAAACTACTTTTGTACATCAAGTATATAAACATCTTTTTACACATCAAGTGTATAAACTACACTAAAGCATCAAGATCAGAAACTATGCTAGTACATCATGTTCAGAAATAAATCTGGTGAAACAATTTCGGATGCTAATCCAGTGCATCAGTGGCAAATTATATTATAGTGCATCTACTTGAGAAACATGTACTGAGGCATGCACTTCACAAACTACAGTAGTTCATCTTGTTGGGAAAGAAGTTTAATGAAAGTTTTAGGGAGTAGTACTAATAGTACAGATGAATGAAGAGTAGTATGTATTACCATTTTGTGGCTGCTGCGATGTGGTACACCAAGCATAGTTCCTATGCATAACTGCATGACTGCTGTCATCTGCAGAGGTTCATCTCTTCTAGTAAACTCCACATCAACATCAATGAATCTAGGATACAAGCCGAGGCTCTTCATCTTGAACCTGCCGATCATCTTGTCGGCCTTGTCTGGTTCGCTGGTGCAGACGATCTCTAGCGTCTCCTTGCCATGGAGCTCAACCCTTGTGAGGGTTCGGGTGTACTCGCGCTTCTCTCCGGGGACATGAACATCGTTGAGGTTGCTGCTCTGGTCGGACGTCTCGCCCTGATGACGCTTGGCAGACGGTTCCTGCGCCATTGCTTTCCTCCGGCGACCTTGGGCTTGGGAGAGAGATGTTTCTGGGTTGGGTTGTTTGTAGGAGATTGAAGCGGCAATGGTGGGTTTTTGGAGATGTGGCAATGGTGGAGTCGATTTGGGTCTTTTCGTGGGCGTGGGAGAGGTGGTTCGTCACCGACGTGGTGGTAGTGGATGTGGGGTCGCTGTTCCAGTGTGTCGTGGCAACCGCCTAGTGGGTGGCGCAGGCAGTGGGCTGGAATAACCAACCGTCCAAGCCATTTTTACCAGGGTATTCACTGGTCGCACATACTAGTCATGTCAAGTTGTACTGGTCGCACAGACTAGTCTTGTCAAGTTGTACTTATCAGCTGCTTATTCCACTTGCACGTCTCAGGGTCAGTAATGATGGCATTTTGTACTGTTTAAGTGTTCGTTTACTTTTGTGATATTTTCAGTGTGGATGTTAAGTCTTATTTTTTCACTGAAGTCTTATACACTAGTACTTGATCTGAAAACTTTTTTCAGTGCACTGCGAGTTGTTGCTCAAAGCTGAGACTTATTTTTATTTTCATCTGTCCCAACCTAAGTTAGGCCTTTATAGTGTTTTACTCTGTTTTTTAGTGTACTTATGGTTTAGTGCTGTGGGTACTGAATTGTAATTTCATACAACGTAAGGTTTTTAAAATTGGTGTCGTAGTGGTGTGTGGGTGCAGCGTGTGTGGACTGAATTTGTAGTACTAATTTCATATGTATGTTTGAACTGATTTTTTTGGACTGAGATTATTTACGACGGAATCGTTAGTTCAACTGTAGTTAGATTCTATATAAATAATAAATTTAGGTGAATTGAGAAACAATATCTATTTGAACTTCTTGCATTTTACTAGTTGAACTTGAAAGTAAAATTTAATCCACTGGTTAAAATTATGTACTTTTAACAAATAGCCTATTAAGTTATCTGCTTTTTAAACTTTCTTTGTTTTTGTATCGTATTTTTTTTTCCTTTTTTATCATCCATTGTGCAGAGCTAATTTTTTTATTTTTATTTTTGGATTTAAAATTATTGCCTGCAAAACAAATATTTGAACTTTTCTGTAATCATTTTTTGAACATTTTTGTTGTAGTTTATTTTTCTTTGCTCCGCGCTCTGGTTTATTCAATTCAACGGGCCGTATGGGCGGGGTGTTTGGAGATGAGGGAGGCTATTGGGCCCTTTTCCGGCCCAAATGGCACTCACGGGCGATTTTGAGGACTCCTGGTTGTGCATGCGCTATGCCTTTAGTCCCACCTTGCTAAGCGAGGGGGCTCTTGACCTGTTTATAAACGCTGCCGAGTCCCACCAGTCGAACTCCTCTGAACACTTACCTGAGCGCTTATACACGGCGCTCGCTCTCTGTCATGACCTATGGGCCCTTTGTTGCCAGGCCCTGCGTTGTGGCGATTTCCTAGGGATTCACCAACGGTTTCGTCGAGGGCTCGAGTTCAAGTGTCAACCTGCGCTAGGTCCTGCGTGTCTATGGGCAGTCAATTTGTTTTGTTTTGAATCTAGTACTTGACTCCATCAGTAATTTAGACTTATACTTTTGTTGTTGTTCTTGAGAGTTTTGTCGAACTGCTTGTTTGTCATTGAGTTTTTGCCCTTTTTTGTTTTGTTCTTGTGATTATTGTCAAATGTCTTCTAGTTTTTTTAGCATTATAGTACTTGCTTGTAAATTAAGCTGTACTGAGGGTTCATTCAAAGTAGAACTTCTGTGCTTAGTTTGACATTTTTTTGATGGATTTGCGAACTAATGCTTCTTTGTACCTTTTTATATTAGTAAATCTGTACTGTCTGTTCAATTGTACTTGTACTGTCATTCTTTAGTCTGCCAATGAGCAATATAAGTGAGCGCTCATGCTTCTTGAACTTTTCTATTGTAGTACTTGCTAATTTTTCAGCAGCTACATATGGATGAGAACAGTACAGGAAGTACTAAGCTTTTTTGCTACAACTTTTGAACCGTTGTTAAGCAACTCAATTTGAACTGATTGTTTTCAACATTATGTTTTTCCATAGAATGCTGAATCAAAACTACACACGGAACATCCTTGTGTGATTAGTTGCTTCATAACTAGCATTGAAGAGCAGGCACAAAGTTCCATTCACAAGCTACTTTGAATTTTGAAATGATGCATAAATAAAATACAAAGCTAAAAAACTTACATAACGAGATAAGCAAACATTGTACTTGATTACATAAGAAAATTGTCTTCAAACCATACACACAATACATAAGCAAATTGTCTTCAACCCAGACACACAAGACATCAGCAAATTGTTTTCAACCCAGACACACAAGACATAAGAAAACTGGTTAAAAAGGCAAGCACAAGCACAAGCAACACGAAGGCAGACTGTGATGTTTCTTCATCCCGCGTAGTGGAAGTGGTAGTAGGGGTCAGCTTCCTTCACCTTTTAAATTTCTGCACCTGTTGTGATGTTGTTGATTATCTTCCATGACTTGTAGGAGGCGTACGCATGTATAACTGCATACTTGATGAGGTAATCTGGTAGTGGGCTGATCCCCACAGCTTATGGTCTTCCTTCTTGTCGATCTTCTTCTTCATGGTTTTGTAGAATGGGTGGATGACGCTGGCTGCAACATCTGCCAAGGAGTCGTACTTTTTTCCGCCGTTGGATGGAACTCTCCTATTGCGCTGAATGTCGATGTAGTTGTTGGGGTTGATCTCCAAACCAGACAACTTCAGCTTCTCCTTGTCACCTCCAATGCAGAAACTGGCAAAGGTGAGCAACTTCTCATGCTGCACCATGTCCTTGATGCGCTTGGGCCTGGAAGGGGAGAGACGTATTGAAGATTAGTATTTTTTTGATGTTTGAATTCTTCAGTATGTTTGTTTTAGAAGTGACGAATCCATGATGTAGATTCTTATATAGTATAGTTAATGGATGAATGTAGTTCAGAAACTAGTAAACACACCATGTTATTTTTCCTTTTGGAATATACAGTTTTAGTAAAGATCTATGTGCTGGTTTAGTACTAGTTTAGTTTACTTTTGTTGAATAGAAAAACACATACCAGTGCTTCACCAAGTTCTTAGTTTTTTTGCTGATGTAAATAAAAACTGACAAAGTTCAGAAACTACTTCACCACATCAAGTTCAGAAACATGTTTTAATACATTGAGTGCAGAAAGTACACTATTGGATCAAGATCAGAAACTACACTAGTACATCAAGTCCAGTGCATCAGATTCAAAATATATTATAGTGCATCTACTTTGGGGAACTGTACTAGTGCATCCACTTTCACAAACTATAATAGTACATCTAGTTCTTAGTTTTTTTGCTGATGAAAATAAAAACTGACAAAGTTCAGAAAGTACTTCACTACATCAAGTTCAGAAACATGTTTTAATACATTGAATGCAGAAAGTACACTATTGGATCAAGATCAGAAACTACACTAGTACATCAAGTCCAGTGCATCAGATTCAAAATATATTATAGTGCGTCTAGTTTGGGGAGCTGCACTAGTACATCCACTTTCACAAACTACAATAGTACATCTAGTTGTGAAACAAGTTTAATGAAATTTTGAGGAAACGGTACTAATTAAACAGATGAACCAAATATGGCAAATGAGTAGGATGGTTCACCATTTTGTGGTCGCTGCGATTTGGTACACCAGGCATAGTTCCTCCACGCATAGTTGCAGAACTGCTGCTCTCTGCGGAGGTTCATCTTCCTTGCTATACTCCATATCAATGCCGATGAACCTAGGAAACATGCCGCCAACCTTCCTTCATAGCCTGTCGATCATCTCGTCCGCCTTGTTTTGTTCGCTGGTGCAGACGACCTCCAGCATCTCCTTGTCATGTAGATCAACCCCTTTGAGGGTTTTGGTGTACGCGCGCTTCTCGCAGGGGATGTGAACGTCGTTGAGGTTGCTACTCTGGTTGGACGTCTCGCCGCACTGACGCTGGGCAGACGGTTCATCCGCCATTGCCGTCCTCTGGCGACTTTGGGCTTCGAAGAGAGATGTTTCTGGCCTATTTGTAGTGGAGATGGAAGCGGCAATGGTGGTCCTCATAATGAGGCAGAGTTGTAGTCGATTTGGAGCCCTTCTCTAGGCTTTTTATGGGGACGTGGGGTGGGGTCGCGCAGTTCATCGCGGACGTGGGGGTAGTGCTCGTGGGGTCGATGTTTGCATCCCATCGTGGCAACCGCCCAGTGTGTGGCGCGGTATGTTGGCCTGGAAGAACCAACCGTCCAAACGTAATTCTAAGCATGGTCTTTTTACTTTTCGAACTGATCTGTCTTGTGCAGGTGTACTTATTAGTTTCTGCTCCCACTTGTACATCTTAGAAGGCGGTGATGTTGGCATCTTGTACTCCTCGACTATGGGTACTTGGGCTGGTGATTGACGTGTAGTTGAACTTATCAGTACAATGTTAGACTATGTGTGCCATGCTAATCTTTTGGAACATTTTTTTTTGAAAATGATTGTTTATGTGAACATAATCTTTGAAGGTATGTTTTACAGATAAATTAGTTTTTCATCTATACATGTGTGTTATATTTGTATTTTCTATTTTTTTCTGTTTGCTGGAGGTATTTCCTTTTATGTACTGATGGGCTTACTAAACTTGGACTTTCAGAACCAGTCACAACTCTGTTTGAATGATGTTTTTTTTGAGGTGTTCACGTGTGGGTTTGTTTACTTTGTCTTGAACTAACGGCTCAGAATTATCTGTACTGATGTAGTGCAAGATTTTAAATTTTCTTTAACAATTTTACTCATTGTGGTCACTTGGACTGGTGATTGACGTGTAGTTGAACTTATTAATACAAAGGTCAGACTATGTGTGTCATGCTAATCTTTTAGAGCATTTTTTGTTTTTTGAAAATGATTGTCTATGTGTACATAATCTTTGAAGGTATTTTTTACAGATAAATTAGCTTTTCATGAGTACATGTGTGTTATATTTGTACTTCCATTTTTTCTGTTTGCTAGTGGTATT